CGGACGTAAGAGTTTTTCTGCTCCAGGTGGTTGAGCACAGTGTGGACCACAGAGGAGATGGCATCCTCTGTTGATCGGTTCTCACGGTATGCATACTGATGAGGGTCCTCATTGATGTTGATGGTTGTTTTGATGTGAGTCATGACCAGTTTTTCGAAGCATTTAGCAACTATCTGGGTGAGGGCCACTGGCCGATAGTCATTCAGGCCAGTCACTGTAGAGCTTTTTGGGACTGGGATGATGGTGGCAGTCTTCAGGCAGGTGGGAACTGTCTCCAGGATAAGTGAGGTGTTAAAGATGTCTGCCAGCACCTCGCAGAGCTGACAGGCCTATGTCTTAGTGTATATCTTAGATCCTTATTTAATGTTTCTTTTTACAATTTATATTTTTTCTATTGTTGGATGTAATTAGTTCTAGAATTGCGTCGCTCAAGGTGGCTGAATGTTGGAGTAGCTCTGTTACTTTCATTCTGAGATATTACTTTTGAACACTTTAATTCCTCTTTATTCTGGATATAAATCACTTTTTTTGGATGATTATTTCCTCTGGTGTCAGATGCTGTGCAGCTGGAAGGATTTTTACAGAAATATCTTTGCTTTTGGACATTTGTTATGATGCGTAACCATAACAACAAGGTTTTTTACAACCGGGAGCAGCTGATTAACATCTACAAAGCTCAAATAATATCTCAACTACAGCCCCAAATCCCAAATGAGTTGAAAAGGAGGCGTCATGGATGCAGAGCAGGAGCAAAGAAGAGGGAGAAAGAGAGAAGAATGAAGTTTAAACCATCTCTTCCATCGGTCATGATGAGCAATGTGAGATCAATGGGAAACAAGTTGGATGAACTTCAGGCCCTAACAAGAACCCATCCAGAGTATCGGGACTTCAGTGTTATGTGTTTCACTGAGACATGGCTGCAGGATCATATCCCCGACTCCAGCGTTTCATTGCCAGGCTTTCTGACCATACGAGCAGATAGAGATTTAAAGAGGAGTGGCAAAAGGAAAGGAGGTGGGTTAGCAGTGCTTGTGAACAACAGATGGTGTAATCCTGGACATGTTACTGTGAAGTGTCGTCTCTGCAGTCCAGATATTGAACTGTTAGCCCTAAGTTCTCGTTCATATTATTTGCCAAGAGAGTTCACCAGTGTTATTTTGGCAACTGTTTACATTCCACCCAATGCTGTTGCAGAGACTGTGTGTGATGTCATCAGCTCCGAGGTTGCTAAGCTACAAACACAACCTAGTGCGTTTGTTGCAATATCTGGTGATTTTAATCATGTCTCTCTCTCTGCTACACTTCCGACATTCCGACAGTTTGTCAGCTGCTCTACCAGAGAAAACAAAATGCTGGACTTTTTATATGCAAATGTCAAGGATTCATACATCGCTAAAGCAAGACCCCCTCTTGGCAAATCAGATCACAATCTTGTGTTACTCTGCTCAAAATATAAACCCCTTGTTCAGAGGCAACCTGCAATAAAGAGAACAGTGAGAAAATGGTCAATGGGAGCTGAAGAAGCCCTGAGGGGTTGTTTTGAGGCTACAGACTGGGATGCACTGTGCCAGCCACATGGAGAGGACATCAAGGCCATGACTGAGTGTGTGACCGACTATATAAACTTCTGTGTAAACAACACCATCCCCACCAGAACAGTGAGATGCTTCCCCAATAACAAACCCTGGATCACCACTGACCTGAAGGAACTGCTAAACCAGATAAAAAAGAGCCTTCAGGGAGAGAGACAGGGAATTATTGAGGAGCACACAGAAGCAACTAAAAGTCAAGATAAGAAACAGCAAGGAGGTGTACAAGAAGAAGCTGGAGAGCAAGCTCCAGCAGAACAATATCAGAGAGGTGTGGTCAGGGATGAAAAAGATCACAGGCTTCAAGCAGAAGGAGGATCAGAAGGATGGAAGCCTGGACAGAGCCAATGAACTGAACACGTTCTTCAATAGGTTCAGTTCAGGAACAAGCTCAGCATCCTCCTCTCTTGCCCACAGCCAAACAGATATACCACCCTCCACTGATACAAGGCTGTCCTGTCACACCTCAAATATTTTATCTACCACCTCAGTCATGGACCCTTCTTCTTCTACATGTTGGTCTTCAACATGCTGATACCTCCTTTGCCTCCCCCCTCTGCGTCTCCAGAAGTCAGGTGAGGAAGCAGCTGGAGAGACTGAACCAGAACAAGGCTGCAGGTCCAGATGATGTCAGTACCAGAGTCCTGAAGGTCTGTGCAGAGCAGCTCTGTGGGGTTCTGCAGCACCTCTTCAACTTTAGCCTGACCCAGGAGAAGGTTCCAGTGTTGTGGAAAACATCCTGTCTTGTTCCAGTGCCAAAGAAAACTCACCCATCAGTCCTCAATGACTATAGACCTGTTGCCCTGACATCCCACATCATGAAGGTCCTAGAGAGACTTCTGCTGACCCACCTGACTAGACAAACAAGCACATACCAGGACCCACTGCAGTTTGCTTATCAGCGTGGACTTGGAGTTGAAGATGCCATCATACACCTGCTTCAGCAAACTCACTGTCATGTAGAAAAGGCAGACAGCACTGTGAGAGTCATGTTCTTTGAGTTCTCCAGTGCATTTAACACAATCCAGCCTGATCTGCTTTGTCAGAAACTCCAGAAGACTCAGGTGGAGGCCTCAACAATCACCTGGATCAAAGACTTCCTGACGGACAGACCACAGTTTGTGAGACTGAAGGGTTGTGTGTCTGACCAGGTGGTCAGTAGCTCAGGAGCACCACAGGGGACTGTACTCTCACCATTCCTTTTCACTCTGTACACCTCAGATGTCCAGTACAAAACAGACTCCTGTCATCTGCAGAAATATTCTGATGACTCTGCAGTGGTCGGGTGTATCAGAGATGGACAAGAAGCTGAGTACAGGGAACTGGTGGACCACTTTGTGGCATGGTGTGGAAACAATCATCTCATCTTGAATGTGAACAAAACAAAGGAGATGATTGTAGATTTCAGGAGAATCAGGAACAGGACCAACACTATTTCCATCATGGGAGAAGAAGTGGAGGTGATGGAGAAGTATAAATACCTTGGAGTTCACCTGGACAACAGACTGGACTGGAGATGCAACAGTGAAGCGTCTACAAGAAGGGCAGAGCAGACTGTACTTCTTGAGGAAGCTGAAGTCCTTCAACGTTTGCAGCAAGATGCTGCATATCTTCTATAAGTCTGTTGTAGAGAGCGCTGTCTCTTCTGCCATCATCTGCTGGGGGAGCAGCACCAGAGCAAGTGACTTAAAAAAGATCAACAAGCTCATAAAGAAGGCTGGCTCAGTTCTGGGGACTCCTCTAGAACCTTTGGAGATGATTGTTCAAAGAAGGATTCTTCATAAAATGAAGAACATTATAGACAACCCTCAGCATCCTCTTCATCAGACTGTCATACAACATCAGACTGTCATACAACAACAGACTGTCATACAACAACAGAGTGTCTTCAGTCAGAGAATTCTTCAGATCTGTTGTAGGACAGACGCTACAAGAGATCCTTCCTGCCCACAGCCATCAGCATCTAGAACAACTCATTAATGAAACCAGGATGATGAGTTACAACAACATTTAATTTCCCTCTGGGATTAATAAAGTATTTTTGAATTGAATTGGAACTGGGGCCTTGTGTACACAATTTTGTTCCACTTAATGTACCACTTGTGATGTGAATGACAATAAAGAACTTTGACCTTGAACCTTGATTAACAACCTGAGCTGCTGTGAGGTGTATCAGTATCTCCACAGTAATAAGGTCAGTGGTGTTTTGTTAAAAGAGGTGGGACACAATCTTATTGACCTTAAAGCAGACACAGAGCCCAGACACCGTCCTCCATCACTGAGCTTGGGTTCATTACAGAGAAAATCGTAATACTGAAGCTGAACAAATACTACAATGCTGTGTCCTCCATACACTTGAAATCAGACCTGATGTTCTCGTCACTGTTTTCAATCTTCTGAGGATCTGGCATCTCTTCTCTGGTGGTTTATTGTAGTCCAGACCCAAAGTAGGATGCAGGTTTTCCTCTGTCGGCCGTTTGTCAACAAGTGAAATGAGCTCACAAACTGAGTTTTGGGTGGTCTCTTCAAGTTCACATTTTTCAGCCATATTCTTCTTAATTCTTCATCTGTAGGTAGGAGATGGAAACTATACCTCTTTTCACAGGAACTCTTTTTGTTTTGGGTCTGTGTTCAAACTCTTTTGATGTAGCCACTGATTTAAATTGGTCTGGTTGTTCGTGCAGCCGTGAACACAACAGGTACCTGAACTCAGCACGGCCATTTTAGTAAACTTTCTGGTTGTTAAATAAATGTGAAAAAACAAAACAAAAAACAGTTTCATCTGCTAAACTGAATGTAAATTACTTTCAAATAAACCGCGGTCCATGCTCCGCTACCATGGTTAGCCAATGCTGACAGCTACTTCCTGTCTGACAGGAAGTTGTTGCATACAGTAGAGCTTCCAGGAAGAAGGTGGATAGAAGTATTTGTGTTATACCTTGTATAGGATGTGTTATCTCAGCTGGGCCCAGAATCTGTTTAATAAAGTTGTAGAATATTGTCACACCCGTCTAACATGAAACATTGTAAATGTGCAGGGAACGAGTTGGCACGTTCAACATGCTACCTGGTCTTTTGTTAAACAGCTGCTGATGCTGGTCTTGTCTGTAAAATGAGTGTATTTCTCCTCATGTGCTTTCAGACTGGTGGAGGAATTATGGAGCAGAGCAGTATGGACCGGACTCTGTGTGTTTGTACCAGAAGTCGGCCTTCGTTATGGAGCAGTGCACCCGGAAGATGACGTACCCGGACTGGGGCTCAGGCTGCTACAAGGTGCAGTTAGTTCCTGTTTCATGTGGATCATCACAGCCTTCAATGTGTTGATGAATGAACCAATAAGGCTCAGACTCTTAGGAGAAGCCGTTGCCAACTTCTGCCTTCAATGGGTTTTTTTTTTTTGCTCTAACTTGTACCAAAATCTTTATTTTACAAGAGGTTACAGCAGTTGATAAACTCAAAACTCACACAAAAGATTTACAATCACATAGCCGTCTTCACATATAATGTTTGAAGATTTTATTAAACGGTTCATTTCCGCTGCTCGATCTTTCACTCATGAGCCATGCTCATGAACAGGTGATGAAAGAACCAAAGGTTTTAGGGAAATTTGCATATTGTGGGTTGAAGAAGTAAAATATTCCATATAGTGTAAGTGCAGCCTGGATGCAGTCGGTTCTTTCTTCTTGTGCAGGTGTCGTGCTCCGCCCAGGGCCTAACGGTGCACGTTCAGGACCGCTCCTTCCACTGCACTAGAAAGGGTCAGCTGCTGAGTGTCAGTGTCCGAGTCAGCGACTGGGTTTACAACGGAGTCCTGATTTGTCCCGCCTGCACAGACTTCTGCGATGACTGCCCTCTGCCCCACCAGCTGCTGCCCATTAACACCACAAGGAGCAACCCTATCGGTCAGTGTCACTCTGTAGGAACAAACAGGCAGACGCTGGTTAAACTGTGAGTGATGGTCTGATGAACACTTTAGTTTGACTAGGGGCAGCTGTGGCTGAGCGTTAGAGCAGTCGTCCTTAGGCCTGTCACGATAACTCATTTTACTGGGCGATTAATTGTCTCAGAAATTATTGTGATGAACAATAATATTGTTTGAAATTTGACAATAATGAGTAATTATTGTCAAATTTAAAAAGAAATATTGGTAATTTGTTTTGTGTATAGTACCTTTTTTTGACCACTGGATGGCAGTATAAGACTGTTTGAATCGAAGGATGGATAGTGAGGGAGCGAGCAGCGTGTCTCTTTAAGACAAATGGGAGGGAGGCCCCTTGACGTGACATGGGCTGTCTCTTGTTCCTGTTTTTCAGTTCTCAAAATGGCGGACGCTCTGTGTGGTTTGAACTCTTTAGCATTTGTCACATAAAACTTTTAATAAAAAATCATTAAACAAGTTCTCGGCTTCTTTTTTCAGAGAAAAACAACTTTTTACACAAAGACGGGTTTCAACCTTGGAGCTTGGACAAGACGGAGGGGCCCCCCCCCCCCCCCCCCCGAGGTCGGCCTGTTAGCTTAGCTCATAGCTTAGCTTCTCAGCTTAGCTGATTTTAACAATCGAAAAACACGATTTTGGACAGTTAAAACAGATTTTAAAGAGAAAGGGAGGGGTCAGTGAAGAGACCGGAGTTGAGTCTGTTGTCATCCAGTGTCTTCAGTAGAAAGAGATACAGAGACGATAAAGACGATAAATGAAAATGAGGTTGATAATTTTCATTTATCATGCGATTAATTGATTTATTGTTTATCGTGACAGGCCTAGTTGTCCTCCAATGGGAGAGATGAGGGTTCGATTCCAGCAGCAGCCACATGTTGAAGTGTCCCTGGGCAAGACACTGAACCCCTCGTTGCCTCTGATGTGTGTCCCATCGGTGTATGAATGTGATCTGATTAGTCACTAAATTCTTCTTATTTTTGTAGAGATCTAGTATAGAGCTGTATGAATGAACGGGTAAATGAGGCACAGAGTGTGTTGTAAAGAGCTTTGAGTGTCTGGATCAGATAGAAAGGCTCTTTATCAGTACAGTCCATCTGTTTGTTTCAGATCCCTGCTCCAGTTCTCCAGGTCTGGCCATCACTCTGTGGCTCCTTCTGCTCAACCTGCTTCCTCTGGTGGCTGGACTGTTGCTCTGCCACTACAGCTGATAACACGCACACACACGCACACACACACACACACACACACACGCACACACACACACACACTCTCTACATGAAGGTAGCTAAACTTTCCTCTGTACTGTAGCCCTCTGACAAGCCTGAACTCTTCCTTCCTCTTTGTTCTCACGTCAGTTTGATTTCCTTCCTTTTGTGTCCGGGCCTGTTTCCTCTCCCTCCCTCCTCTGCCCCGCCCCCCCCCCCCCCCCCCCCCCCCCTCCACGTTTAGTGACCTCAGCTGTAACTAAACCTCTCAGTACTGTCAGGGTGTTTACATGCACTTCAATAACCAGGTTACTGTCAACTTTCATTTAAGTGAGGGCCTCGGTTGCTGATATGAAGTTTAGGGCTAATTATGACCTGATTTACCTCGGAAGATTTGCTCTAAATTTTTTCATTTTTTTTTTTTTTCATTTAGCCTTTATTTATACAGGTTAGTCTCATTGAGCCACGAGAACTCATTTTCAAGAGAGACCTGAATAATGCAGATGTTTCAGCCACATGTGCAAACAAAAGATCAGAAAAACTTCGCTGTCCGAGGGAGGTGCACTTATCAACGCGTGGCAGCTAACGTTGGTTTCATCAGGGCTCTGACCAAAAGGAACAACAGCTGGATCAACTTCTTGTTTATTTTTTATTTGCACATTTCAGACTCATGCTTCTGTTTTTTAATAACGTTACGTCCCTGAACATGCCAAAGGTTGTTGTTTAAACTTTGCTTGAGCTTTTTGTTAAACAGACATGTGACAGAAATTTAGTAAAAATAATGAAAAGAATCTTTGCTGTCACAAAAATTCAAAGGAATATTTCAGCCGTTCTAAAAAAAAGGATTCTGTGGAGAACATATGAGCAATCAATACCTTACCTGCTGTAGATAGCTTGTTGAGGCTTGCTGCCATTTTTAAACAACTCTTTGTAGTTTCAAGTGCAAATGGTAATATTTCAGTCTACATGGCTGTCAGATTGACTTTACAAGGAAATGTAAAGTCCTGCAGAAATTGACCTTATGCCAAATCAGAAGTGCTACAGCTAGCTGCTACAGCTAGCTGCTACTGCTAGCTGCTACTGCTAGCTGCTACTGCAGCCGCTTTTTACACTTGTACAGTGAAAGACTTTAAAATTCGATGTGAAAAACATTTAATCTAAAATTTGTGGCAGTGTTCATGTTTATACAACAATGTTCACTTGAAGCAGTCTGAAATATTCAGGGAGTAAAGCAGATTAAAAATGGCAGCGTTCACGTCACATTTGGACTTTGACCTCATGAGTCCTAAAAGAATAAAATGATTTCTCTCCAAACTGACGTGGTTCTAAAAGCTCTTACAGCAGGTGAGATACTGAGTCTTTACGTCTCTTTATAACTTCACAATTATGGAAAGCCATTTCTTTCAAAAATAAATCAATAAATAACTAGTGTTATTTAAAAATTATTAATAAATATTCCATTAAATAAATAAATGTTCCCATGAAATAAAACATTTAAATAGAAATGTTTAGTTTTTTCTCCAAGATTTATTTTTTATTTATTTCAAGATTTATTTTTTATTAATTTATTTCAAGATTTGTTTATTTAATAATGGAGTTTCATTTTGTGACTCTTTTATTTTGTAAAGTTGCTTTACATATTTCAGGGGCTTTTATTTTTTAACCCCGTTTTGTCGTTTTAAGTTCTTTTTATTTCATGTTCTTATATTCAAATGAGGGGGCGGGGTTTTCTCTGTGGGGCGGGTCTAGTCAGGATTAGCGGATTGCATCTGCTTGAAAAAACTGACGTACTCCAATGTTTTTGACCAATCACAGCAAAGTATTCCCCTCGCTGAGCTGTGATTGGTCCAGCTTGGTCAAATCATGAGTTAACTGTTCAGAAAGTCAGGATGACGAGCGGCAACATGGAGGATGATGGAGAACCCCGAGATGAAATGCAAAGATTTGAGGATGAAATAGAGCATTATATATTTACATTATATTTACATCCTGCGTGTGATTCATTTGCAGTGTGGACACGGAGTGGGGGGTCGCCTCTGCGTGAGACTGACAGCTGTCAGAGCTTGGGGAAGTGGGAGGGGCTTACGGCCCGCTGCCGAACATTCTTTCGTCACCAAAGTCTCCAATAACAGAAAAGAGTCTCTAGATTTGTCGCTAGTGTCTTTTTTGAAAAAAGTCACTAGAGGGTTCTGAAAACTCGCTAATTAAAGCGAGAAAGTCACTAAGTTGGCAACACTGCAGCCATGTCCGCTGTTGAGCTGCAGCCCGTGCAGAAACATTGTGCTGCACATGGTTCCTCTTCAGAAAAGGGCCTGTGTGTGTGTTTTAGCGTGAGAAATACAAAATGTTTCGTGTGCACGTAATTAAATGCGGGTGTCTCACGGTCAATGCTGAGACTTTAGAGGCCAGCGTTTATTTTTATTTTTGATTTAGTTATTGATTTGTCTGGTCTATAAACTCATGGATGGACTGCATTGACCCTGATCAGACCCGCCCCACAGAGAAAGCCCCGCCCCACAGAGAAAACCCCGCCCCCTCATTTGAATATAAACATGAAATAAAAAGAGCTTAAAATGACAAATGGGGTTATAAAATAAAAGCCCCTGAAATATGTAAAGTAGCTTTACAAAATAAAAATGTCACAAAATGAAACTCCATTATTAAATAAATAAATCTTGAATTAACTCAAAATAACTCTTGAAATAAATAAAAATAAATCTTGAAATAAATAAAAAATCTTGAAAAAAACTAAACTATTTTTATTTAATAAATAAATCTTGAATTAACTCAAAATAACTCTTGAAATAAATAAAAATAAATCTTGAAATAAATAAAAAAATCTAGGAAAAAACTAAACTATTTTTATTTAAAAGTTTTATTTCATGGGAACATTTATTTATTTAATGGAATATTTATTAATAATTTTTAAATAACTATTTATTTATTTGTTTATTTTTGAATTAAATGGTTCTCCATACACAATTACCAGAATATTCATTTTAATCATTTTTTAGTTAGTGTTAATGAATAAATTAAATATAGATGTAAATAAAATAAAAAAAACTGAATAACTGTGTTATTTTTAACAGAATGCAGTTTTTGTTTTACAAAATATTTCATCATGTTGCCATGTTTCTGAGCTGGAACATGAGTACGTAAGACTTTTTGTTTTTGATTAAAAATAACAATAAATGCTTGTGAATGGTTCAAGCAGTTTGTCCGAGGTCTCCGGTAAACGAAGTCGCTCATGTTTGTAGAAGAGAGCGAGCTAAAGCTCGGAGCTGCGTGTGCGCCCGCAGGTTGTGGTAACCGTCAGTGCAGTGCATGTAAACATGTACAGTAGTTCTGATCTCTCAGATTTGATCTGACTTTGAGTTAAAGATCTTTTGTGGTGAACTTCTTTTGAACTTGAGCCACTTGATTTCAAGACGACTGCTGAATGAAGGGTTCTGGTCGTTGGACCGCTCTGATTGTTCCTTTCATTTGTTCTTCACGCTGCACTAACAGAACTCTGCAGGACTTCAGATTCTTCAGTCCAAATCTTTCATCCAGGTCAACAAAGCCCCACAGAAAAGTTTTTATTTTACATTTTCAGTTTGTTTAGTCTTTGACAGCAGCCTGATGTTTTTAGATAAATCCAGATTTGAACAACAGAGGAACCCATAAAGTGTTTGGATTGTTTTATAATCAAGTTTATGTGCAAGTCACTGATTTTACTCCTTTTTGTCTGAACACATGCTGAGAGCAGCAGTGTTCTTCTGAAAGAAACGGGAACATCTGCAGTTCTCCGACCTCCTGCCGCTGGAGTTTAAACAGCTGGAACAAGCTTTCATGCAGATAACTGTAAATACAAACGTGAACTTTTTAAGAGGCTAGCTGAGCTGAATGTGGTGGATTCCCGGCCCCTCACTTGAATTTTCATTCTAGCTCGTTTACTTTGAGCAGACTTCATGTCCTGTAGATCAACTCTAGCTGTTTGTGCTGATGCATGCTCACACGCTCTGTGGCTGTTCAACAACGTTGTTGGGCTAAATCTGAAAACGGTAGTTCCTCACTTATTGCGGGGGTTACGTTCCAGACACCCCCATGATAGATGAAAATCTGCAGAGTAGGGACGTTGTATTTATATATGTTTTAAGGCTTTAGAAGCCCTTCCCACACTCTTGCAATGTTCTAAACTCTTAAACGACATCATTTTACCAACATGCGTACAGTACTGTGTACGTAGCTCCTCCAGTGTACTCACCAGTTCTGCAGACCAGCAGCAGCTCTCAGTTCTGCTCCTTTCTGGTCCAACTCTGTTCCGTTTCTGCAGACTACCATGCAGTGGCCAGTCCTCTAAACTCTTAAACCTACTCATTTTAACAACACACTTGCACGTAGCTACTAAATTTTACTTACCAGGCTCTGCAGAACAGGAGTGACTCGGTTCCGTTCGACCCGATAGATGAAAAAAGGCCCTGTGCAGCATGATGAAGCCCACCACTCCATCCAGCTTGATGTGTGCATGCTACTGCTCCAGGAGTAAGGCTGCCCAGGATTTAGTCCACCACCTCTGGCCCGGTCTGGACCAGCACCGCACGACCAGAACCAGGCTGAGCCCCATCGCCATCTGTCACCTGCAGCCCCCTGGATCCGGGTCACACAGAGTCCAGATCAGCTGCTCAGCAGTGAAGACACAACTTGAAGGATGAGTTCATCTTCAGGATTATCTGGACCTTCCTGCCAGTTCTGTGAGTTTATCCGTACAGAACTTCTGACTTTGCTGCAAAACGTTCCCTCCATTTGTAGAAAGCAGCAGTTGGAAGCAGTGTTGACTTCTGGGAAGTGAAATGATGGCTTCTGGGTAACGTAGTTCTTTAGACTGGCAAAACAGTGTAGGCTTAATGAAAGAAAAGTTCAAAATGGTGGCACATTTAATTTATTTGAAAATATTCCATGCAGTACTGCACGTCCACAAACTGCGACAGAACAAGTCCATGAAAGTGGAAGTAGCGAGGGACTACTGTATTGTATTAGAGTAGTCCCTCGCTACTTGG